GAATAAGGTTTTGTTGGGATAAAATTAAAGTGCTTATCTTTGAATTTGCTTCCTCTGGTTGAGTTGGCACAGTACATTGAATGAAGGAATGTTCCAAGTTCAGAGGTGGCATTGGGGAATCTAGTTAAAATGACATCAAAGGCAGCACAGCGGGGCTGAACATGTGTTTGAAGCCGGATAGATTAGAGGCCATTATCAGCCTTTCGCTACTGTGCTGGGAACAAAAGTCGCTCTTAAAGAGAGGCCTAGAACAAGCATTTGACCTTGCTCTGAAAGAGGGGGGAAAAAAAAAAAAGAGAAAGAAAGAAAGAAAAATTGCACCTTCTAATATAATGCTGCTTTGCCCGCGAATGGCCGTGCAGCTTTAGCGCGCGAGTTGTGTTCTGGCACCCGGGTTTTGTGCAGCAGTTAAGCTGAAATGTTGTCTATTGATGCTGACCAGCGATGGCTAAAATAATCCCCCAGGTTTATTTTTTTTTTTTTCCCCCTGTAAAAATTGCCAGTTGTTTTGTTGCCATCCAGTCTGGAAAAAGCCACGTCGTGATGCAATGAAACTCTTTAACCGTTGTGACTCTTTTAAGTTATTTTTCAAATGGAGGTTCGTCATTAAAGAAAATGAAGCCACCTAATGAAAGCGATCGTCTGTCGGTATAGCAATGCTTGGGGAAATTGCTCTGCTCCCGTAACGTGTCACTGCCGGGCGCAGCGGAGGTGATGCTCCCAGACGCGCTCTTCCTCCTCCCGCATTACCTGCAGCCACTAGCCAGAGCTGTAATTAGCCTGGCTAATTTTCTGTTCTCTCATTTGTCTTCCTACTAAAAAGCACTTGTCATTAATCACAGGTTTTATTTTATTTTAATGGTGTTTAATTTTGAGTGCCTGGGTTACTGCATGAAATTGCATTCTTCTGATGTAATTTGGTGGCGTTTCTGCCTGCGCCCACATTTCCAGGGAGCCAGCGGGGCAGCAGGCACGGAGAGCTGACGGTGACCGTCTTTGCGCAGGCTGGTGCTTGTAACTCGGGAGCTTTGCAGGCAAAATGTCACCATAAATTGTGTTTCCCTTGCCAAATGGCATCTCGACTTCAAAAATCCACTGGTTAAACTGTTTGGCTTATGTTGTCGAGAAGCAGCTGTGCTTGGCAGTTGTGGGGTGGAGGGTAGGTGCTAACTCCATTTGGCCCATGCAAACATCTCGTCGTTGTGAGATGCGTTGGGACTGGCTCGTTTGCACCGCAGGGTTGGAAGGAGACAGCGTGTGTGCGTGGAAGTTATTTGGTACTTCGGACAAACCAATTTACCCCCCCGTTCATTTCCATCCGTTTCTGTGGCATTGCACGGCCTTCCCAAGTGGCTGCTTTTACTGAATTGGGGAAACGTGTAAAATACAAAAGGAAGGCTCCAAATTGCCAAGCTCCAGGCTGGCATTTGGTTTTGCATTTGCTGATTTTTCTCTAAATAACCCGATGTCACCAGGAGATGGGTCCACGTCCTTATCTTGTAACTGGCCTCCACATCACTCGCGTTCTCCTCGTCCTGGGTGTAAGCAGGGTGGTCGCAATGGTGAAAACAAAAGTACGTTTCCTTTCTTCGCCTGAAGTCATACTCAGCCAGGGATGCTTTACCACTAGGGGTGCTTAGCAAAGCCTGATGGCTCGGACCCCCTGGAGCCCCCATCTTTGCAGAAGGGCTGCGTGCAGCTCGGCAGAGCAGGTCCGCACCGTCCCCCAGCCCACGGCAGAGCCACGGACCCAGCTCCCGGTCTGTCAGGACCAAGGATCGTTGCCACCACAGTCTCCTTCCTCTGCAGAGACCTTCGTCACCAGCTTTTTCTGCAAGGGCAGAGCAGAGCTGGTTCAGTTGGGTGCTGCTGCCCACGGCATCCCTTCCTAACCTCGGCCAGCCTCCTCTGGGGCGAGGGCTAGGTTCCATAATTTCAGACCGAGCTAGAGATCATCTTAAGAGCAGCGAAGCCTACCCCTTCGCTTTGATAAGCCATTTGAGAAGTTGTCACGCTCTCTTAAAAATACATACCTTGTTGCCCGACCGAGTTCCCCTTGGTGTAGATGCTCACTGAGCTCCCACTCCTCCTCCTCCTCCCCCTCCTAGCCTGCCCTGTGGTTTACTGTGTACATTACAGGCTCTTTTATAGAAAGCAACCAACTATAAAAGGTACCAGGATGTGGTCCAAGTCCTTCTCCCTGCCCTCTGCCTAGGGCAGCGGTCGCAGGAGCCCTGCCTCGCTCTGCTCCCGGCAGATGCCGTGTAAGTCCCCCCGGCACCCAGTGCCAGAGCGTTGCTGGTGCGGGGTCCTGGGTGAGCATCGTTCCCCGCACGGATTCCTCTTGCTCTGCTGTGGCTGCTCTGGGCGTGTAAGCTTTTCTGAAACGTAAAGGGATCTCCTACCTGCCGCTCTGCGGCGGTGAGGCTTAAATGAACATAATGTATCGGAGAAAGGCACTAAAGCAGGGCATGTTGTTGTTTTATTCCTGCAGAGATGGGATCCCACCATACAGACTCCGAAAGCAGCATCGCAGAGAGATGCAAGAAAGTGCCAAAGCAAATGGACGTGTGCCACTACCTCACATTCCTGTAAGTAGCACTATCTCCTTCCCCAGAGGTAAATATGCAAAATGTGTGAGATCTCTAGCGTACAGTTGCTCAGCTTGTTCGAGTTTAACCCCCCTTAGCACTGTATTCATTTGGGGATGTTTTAAGATGGAAATACACCGTGCTAAGAAAGGGCTTGGTAGCCTTCTGCCAAACTCATCGTCCAGGGCTGTCCAAAATGCAGAATTTTTCCTAATCGTTCAGTCAGTAGCTGGTTGTTTCTCCTGGATGAGAATGGAAGCGCTGGCTGGCATTTACCTGCAAGCAGGTTACGTGCCCTCGGGTGAGCTGGAGGTGTTTGTGGAAGGTGTAGGAGGCCATTGGGCTGATGCAGCTCTCAGCCAAGGTCAGCTGGGGAGAAATGCAACTGTCCCGAGCGGTATTTCTGCACTGGGCAGCCAAAGGGAGCTGTAACCTGTTCTTAAGGACTCGGCAAAGCCTGCCCGGGGATACGAGGCAGGAGAGCAAAGACGGTGCAGGCGTAAGTATTTCATTTGTCTGGTACTGGCTGCCCAATTGCTCCAGGTAAGCAAACACCCTTTGGAAGACGAGCATAACTGCAGCACTATCTGCAGCTCTGCTTATTGTTATTTTCTTTCTGTGAGAAGTTACAGGTGACATTTAATATCTAGCAGGGAATAAAGCTGCTTCTTTCCCCTTTGGACAGCTGGACTCCAGCACTAATCAAATAGGGAGAAAAAAGCCTCCATGTGCTTTTTCCAGAAGTGCCTTCAAACTTGATGCAGCTGTTCTCATCCTGCCTGCTTGTAGCAGCACAATACCAGTAGAAATACACCCTTGTTTTAATCTGAGTAAAAAAAAAAAAAAGAAAGAAAGAAAAAACCAAAACCACCACTCTTTGTTTTGCCTTTTAAATTAGATTATTTTCCTTAGATTTAGGAGGGTCTCCTGTGCTTTGATCACTGGGTTGACAATAAAAGCCCTGGCTGCGGACGCTCGCTAGCCATCCTTGCTCAGTCACCTCTCTTTTCACACAGTTGCTTTCACAGTGTGGTCGCTGTTGAAAAGGCTGGCTGGGTGCCTTTTTATTTCACTTGATGCCGTTTTTACTGTAAGCATGGCTTTGTTAGAGTTGAAGTTTGAAAGCTTGGCCTTTATTTTGTTGTTGTTGTTGTTGTTGTTGCTGTTCCCCAGCAGTGGGAACTACCGAGTGAATATTCTCTGCCTTCAAAGCTTGTCAGTGGCTTTACCTTTCGGATAATAATAATAGTGGCTTTCTGTTGATGGTGTGCACTGGCAATGCCTCGATGAACTGCAGGTTATAAGCTCAGAGTATGGAGCATTAAATATGTATAGTGAGCTCTGCTTTAATGAACTTCCATCTGCCAAACATTTCTTTTGTTGAACTGAATAAGTGTCATTCCGGCAGCAGTTCCTTGCAGGCTAATTAGTTTTACTTAGCATTAAATTTTATCGACCTTTTTGGAAACCAGTTTAAAAGGGGGGGGAGGGATGGGGAAAAACAAGGTTTAAATTGGCCACCTGCTGCTTATAAATTTTTATATTATCCTACTTATCTACACGGTCTTTTAGAATTACATATTCCACCTAAACTACACACAGACGCTTCACAAGGATTTTTCTGTGAAACATCCGCTGTTCCCATTAGATTCTGTGCTGTAATTTTAAGTCCCAGGGAAAAAAGGCATCTTGACGCATATTTATATGGGAGAGGAGGAGTGAGAAGTTGAGTTAGTTCTAGTCTTTCTCCAGGGAATAAAAGTTTAGTTCAGACACTCTGGCACCTCCTGCCAGCCAATTACTGACACAGAATTGGCACCGACATCAGAGAGGCACTGCTCTGCCCTCGCTTATCAATCAGCCAAGAAAGGAGAAGGTAATTAGACAATATGTTTTGACAACACCAGTGTGAAATGTTAGAAAGTTAGTCTTTTAAAATCACCTCTAACTGCACGCTTATTGAATTAAACTTCCCCAATTAGCAAGGAACCATGCAAATGTTTCTTCAAGTGGTGTTTTCCAAAGCCGGTGGTTAGGCTATCTCGCAGCCCGGAGCTAAAGCGGTCTCCGTCGGCCGCCTGGACCTGGTGGGGAGCATGCTTTTCAACGCGTAGCAATGACTAAATTGCAACCCTCGAGTGAAGGTCTTTATGGACTCGTATCTAACCAGTGTAGCCAGAGTCCATGCTGATAGTGCTCGCAGAATGCATGGCATGTTTTCCTAGTGATAGTAGAGAACCTCCTACTTCCGAAAAGTCATTTCAGAAGCCCTTTAGAGACCTTACCGTTCCCTTACAAATGATTTATGGGGCTATTATGCAAAATTCTGAAAGAACTTATATTGCTTTTAATAGCAGCACTTTTAGTTAGTTAGAAGCTATAAAATGCAGTGATTATATTTTCATAGGAGACTGCCCGCTAGTTTCAACAGCCGTGCTGCCTCCAAATAATGAAGGCATGCTCCTTTTTCCCAACAAATTCAGAAAAATCCAACCTCGAGCACTGAGACTTGGGATTCCTTTTTTTGTTTGTTTAACTGCATAAAGAAGCCATTTAGTGATGTTCTTGCTGTAGCTTGATCGTCAGGTGGGAACTCTCCTGTCCTGCCCCACAATCAAGGAAGCTGCAGCTCTTTACGTTGTTCCCACGTGAGAAGAAAAAAAAGTAGAAGCGGCAGCAGAGTGGGTCAGGTTGATTGCTGAACTCCCCCAGAAGGATGTCCTCTGTGCAGAGGTGGCTTCCATCGTGTTCTTGAGCGGAAGGGAAGATTTTGAGTGCAATGCCGTACAAGCGAGGAGTGTACAGGAGGAGCCCTGGTCTCGTGGTGGCTGGATAACTACAGCTAAATGAGCTCGCTGCTCCTGCGAGTTGGGAACCTGCTCAGAATTCCCATCAGCTGTTTTATGCCTTTTTCTTCAAACATCTTGCAGCCCCGGGACTCCTTGCTAATCCCTAAATGCTGCTGCAGTGGATGCTGAAATCCAGCTATCCATGAGCTCTGCCACAAGTGTTTCTAGTATGGGAAACACCATTTATCCTTTAATAACGTGTGTCACAGTGGAATGCATTATTAATCTGGGAAATGTGGAGGTTCAGAAGTTCTTTTCTCTTGGGTTCTCTAGCCTGCCATCTTCATTTCATCTCCAAGACTGATTTGTGATCTGACATCGGCCACTCCAAGCGTCATGGAGGCATCAAACCTCCTGTAGACGAGGGAGATTTACCAACACACGGGATTGTTTGGCCCAGCCGGATCTGTCAGAAATGGTTCAGCCCAACCCGTGGATCCCTGGGCCTGGTTAGAGACCTCTACCCGGTGATAACATTGGAAAACTCATTTCATCCCAGAGAAACTGAGGTTTATTTCCAAAGGGAACCCACAAGTCTCAGTGAGATTCTTCCCTTTCTGATGTGCAACTTGGTCCTCAAACCTCCCTTTTTCAGGGAAATCCATCAAAACCCATGCCCTGCATCTGCCTCGTGGAGCAAAATCCATGCAACTGCCACTCCATCAGCTCCAAGAAAAGAAGGAGAAAACATGATAGCAGGTGCTAAGTGGGACTACTGGAGAGCTCGCGTATCTCGCATGTTCTTAGCAGGCTGCTTCTTCCCAAAGGTACCGGAGTTTCAGATGCTTGGTATGTCAGTGACAGAGGACAGTGTTCTGGTGATAGGAACCCCAAGAAATCCTTCCTCACAGCTGTCACTAGGAACGATTGCTCCATCCAGACCAGTTCAAGCAATTTCTTTCCTGCCAACCCGTCTGGCATTCAGCCTCCCATCCGTTGTTCTCTGCAACCTCCTCAGCTCAGCATGGTTTGGTTCTGGACAGGCATGTCTGAACTAGTGGCACTAAATAAAAGTAAATAGATAATTAAATAAAACATTAGATAAAACAGCTGTAGATAAAACAATTCTTTAAAATGAAACGCTTCCTTTCTGAATTGATGGCCAGAGATCTCGTTATGATCCTCCAAAACCAGCCAGCTCTCAGAGAGTGCTGCACCCTTTACTTGGAACAAAAGCATTAGGAGCCGTTCTGGTTTCAGAACAATACCCGGGTTATTTACAACTCCCTTGGTAGGGCTCTGTATGCCCACGGGAAGCTGGGAGCCCGTTCAAAGTCCTGAAGCCCTGCAGGATCCTCCTCCGGGCACAGGCTCAGCCTGGCTGGTTTGTGATGGAGCATGTCTCCCTCCCGAAGTCAGGCCAGTCATTTGATAAAAATTTCAAACACTTTGTTGTCTTAAGCCTTTTGAACGAGGTCAATGCAGTCCGTGTTTGCTGTCCAGGGAGATAGAGGGACCCCTTAGCAGTTATCTGTATTGCTTCAGCACAGGGAATTTGCATTCATCATTCTGCAATACTGTGGGGTTTGGGGAAGTCTGTGTAGCTCGTCCTTTGAGCTAGGAATAAAGTCAGAGCCATGGCGATGTTCAGAGCATCATCCTGCTTGCCAGCTTTCTGTAAGTCACCATTACAGGTACCTGCCAGGACAACGTAGGGCGCGTGGAACTGATATCCATGGGGTGAGGTGAGGTTTATTTCAGTTGCAGTGAACTTGGATGGTCAGAGAGACCCTTGCAGAGATGGCTTGACAGAGGGCACTGCGTCCTGCACCCTCGAACAGGCCGCTGAGGACCTCTGCAAGCCGCTGTGCTGAGTGGAAAGCCCCAAGGACGGGGCAGGGAGTTTTGCAGATGCAACAGTTTATCAAAGAGTTCATCCTAAAGATTCTTGGGTTCAATTATTTTCAGTTCTGCAGTTGAGCTTCAATCACCTCCAGACTTTGAGAGACTGTGGTTAAATATGCTGAAGTATTAGTTGTAAAAGACCAAAATCATCTTACCTCGAGGTCCCCGGATACAGCAGTGACCCTCAATGCCTTCAGCTCCTCATTAGAGACGGAACTGTGGTCCTTAAGCATTGCTGGGCCTGGAGGGAACCACCTTCTTGTAACAGGACTCGAACAGGCAGGTTAGCAAACTTCAACCTTTGCACCCGCTGCTGCTGGGGGCTTGGGAGAGGCTTTGGTTTGGGATGCTGCATTCCATCAAAGGCTATGAAAATAAAGGGAAATTCTTTCCCGGTTCTGCTTTTCTATGGAAGCCGCTGAGGTAGCTGCAATGGAGAGACCCGAGACTGTAACTGCTGAGCGTCGAGCTGCCTCTCGTTAGGCTCATTAAGTTTCTAACGGAGCAGGGCATGGTGCTGCCGCCGTATAAACAACCGCAGGGAGAGTTGGCACGTCTGAGGTGGCAGGAGGGAGTGAACACGTCACCCCGACGGGTTGCGACTTGTCAGAAGAGAAAGAGAGATTTCCCTCCTCGGGAATCACTGGTGCTGCCTCATGGGATGGATGGTGGCAGTCACGAATTTGGGGTTTGTGACGAAAGCAGGCTCCCTTAGCCAGAAGTGTTCCCCTGGGATACGCAGGGGGAACGGGGAAACAGCACTTGGATCCCAGAAGCTCCCCAGGGAGTAACAGAGCAGGGACCAGCTCTGCCACGTCTTCCCCCAGTTCTGGGGCCTGTTTCTGGACTGCAAAGGTCCAGGCGCTGGGACGAAGCATGCCACTTTGGCCCTTAGTGCCAACATTTGAAGACTAAACATCATTTTTATTAAAGAATTTTTTTTTCTACTGTGTTTCTTTTTAAAACAGGCCATTGATTTGCAGGGTTGGAGGTTCTGGTGGCAGCAAAGACTTTGTCATCCCGGGGTGGGAGCCACATCGCAGCTCACATGCGTTACACGCTCTCCAGCGGCTGCATCCCTGGATGAAGGGGATGGTGGGGGCTGTTCCCACCTCAGATGGGTCAGTCCTGCCTGGGACAGCTTCGGGTGGAGCTCTCGGTCCCTCTGCTTGTCATGGAAAGCGAGTGCTAGAGCAGGCAGTCCTTTTGCCTACAAAGCCACATCGTGTCCGCCTACGTCCCTGGGGCCGCCGCAGCCCAGCACCATCCGGCGCAGAAGAGAAGGCGATGGCAGTGAGCACTGGAATTGGGATTTGCTGGCAGGATTGGCTGGGTCTTGCTCTTGGCCAACAAAACAAGCGGTGCTTTAACTGAGACCTCTGCAATGCAACTTGGGTGTCATAAAAGATGTCTTCAGCTTGTCGGTGCCATCAGTAGGATACTTACTGCCTCTATTTTTCTTCCCCTGCCTTCCACTCAGCGTCTCGCAGAGAGAGAAAAACCAATATGATTTGCATACTTTTGACAGATTTTGAGGCAAAGCATTATTTTAGTCTTCTGCTTTTGTCTGGTCTGGGATAAATTCGGGTGGTGTCTCATCCTCCTTTAAAGATTTCAAGCTCAGTGTCTGCTTCTGGTGCTGCATTTGTTCTTTTGCTATGAATTATCTCATGTCTTCACATTTAATTTTATCTCTGCTCCTATAGACTGTATATTTCTCTTGTGTTGGTATTGAAATATTTGAATGCAGGTTTTTATATTGTTGAATTTTCCATATATTTTTCCTCCAAATTGATTTTTTTTTATCCCCGCTGTGTCATTTTATTTTTTTCTACTATTTTAACAAAGTAATGCAGAAGGGATAAAAATAAGGGGAAAAATACAACGGCTGTCAGCTTCATGCTTCACAAACTTCTTATCCCAGAGCTCAGGAATTTAGGGACAAGGTAACTCAACATAAGGAACCGAGAATGCCCTTGAACTGAACTCCCATAAATATTCATTTGTTCACCCAGAGCAAACAGAAGAGTGGTATCTCTGTAAGGTTGCTGTATTGATAAAACAAGCAGGGGATCATTGCAGAGCTCCAAAGAGTTGAGATGCGATCCTGCAGGATCCTCTAGTAAGGAGGATGCTTTAGGGGAACCGTGGCCTTTTGTGGCTGGGGTGGGCTGTAGCAGAAGATGGAGGGAAGTAAGATGTCTGGGAGGCGACGGTATTTCCTCTCCTTTCTGCCGCTGTGGGCTAGATTTGCAGAGATTGACTGGCATACACTGATCCACCTGGGATAAGCTGAATAAGTGTGCGTAAGAGTCCTCCTTTTTATCAGAGTGAGAACGTGGCTACTGTAAGCACGGTACGTCCTTTTCCCACCCTTTGGGACCAAGATATTCCAGTTGACCACGTGTACATTGGGGGGAAAGCAAGCGCATCCATCCCAAAGCAGAGTTTGGTGCCGAAACAGCTTGCTGAATTGTGGCTCCAGAAAACCTTTCCCTTAGGTGGGGTGGTGTGCGGAACTGGTGCCGGCTGAGAAGCTCGTGGT